CCCCCCCCGATTCAATATGCCTAGTCTAGTGTAATTTACTGCCCAGAGCAACAGGATTTCAGCAGTTACGTTGCTACAGATAAACTCAATTAATCTGAATGTTATTATTATTTCTTGGAGAAATAGTTTTGTCTAGACAATGGTCTGGTTCGAGATTCAGTAGTGTTGAATCTTAAGTGTAACCTTTTGGAACCAAAATTGAAATTGGGTTTAAGCAAAACACGAGAGTACGGAATTATTGTGAAATGAGTCAATGAGCTCACAAAGGTCCTTCCTTTCCATAAGAATATGTGCATGGATACAAACAAGTACATCTTCCATCTTGCTGTGATGCACAACACCCTGGAAGCTTAACTCCACCTCCCCACATTTCTTACCATGTCTTCCAGCAGATAGCTGTGAAGGGGGCACTACACTACCTGATTTCGGTACCAAAACTCTACTTCATTGGGCTCACCTGTAACGTGGGCTTTCTGTTATAGCAGAGTGGAGGAGCTGCAGTTCTCTTGATATTGTGGGAATTTCATGCCCACCCCACCACTGGTTATGCTGTCTAGGCTTCACGGAAATTGTTGGACAGCAGAGGACTTCGCCTACCCCTCTTTCCTGGGCTCCTTTTTGTTAGAAGTCACAGCAGTTGCAGTTATAATGATAAAAACAATTAATTCAAGACTCACCGATATGTCAAGTCTCTCTTTCTCCATTTTGGAGACATAGCAAAAGTCTTATATTCTCCTATATCAGGAACCCCACACCTGGGTTTCTTCATTGCATCCAGAGTGTTTGAATCCAGCTTGCCTGTCACTTCCAGCCCCCAAAATGCCTGCATTTGTCTTATTTTTTCGGCAGGTACACTACTTCTGAATTTGTTTCTCGCAACAGATGTTGGTTCTGTATCAGGGTAGTAATGTTCAATGAATTTCTGGTGGAAAGATGAGGTTATTAGAATCAGAATCTATTTCTGTTGTTTATTTGATTTATATACTGCATCATTAGTACACGCGCTACTCTGCGCAGTTTACAAGAACCCACCTAACAATACATAGCAACAATATGGTGATTTAAAAAACATACAAAAAAGGAAAGAGAGAATAAAAACATAAAAAATTAAAAAATTAATATTAACAGCATCTGGAAGACTCAGTTATTGAAGGCAGCTTTGAATAGTTCTGTTTTCAACAAATTCTTGAATGTTAAGAAGGATGTTGTATCTCTGTATTCCAGAGACTGGGGCCTACCACCAAAAAAGCCTGATTCCTTGTCTTTTCGTTTCTGGCTTCCTTTGGTTGGGACACTTTTATCAACACGGATTCAGAGGAGCGGGTGAAATGGGTAGCTAATTTTGAGGAGAGAAATAGAATTAGAATCTTCTTTTAGGATTATTTCTGATGCTATTTTTACATACGCTGTGGTATTATTAATATACTTCCTCTATGTATCTAAATTGTTCAAACTTATTTCTATCCTTTCTTTGGCTTGCAAGATTCAGTGAAAGAGACTCATTTTATAAAGAAATGCACAATGTATTATTTGTGCTAAAGCCATAAGAGCCATCAGTGGTAACCATGATGTGCCTCTTTCAGAAGGATATGTTTTATATTCTACCCATTTTACAGATCCAGCAACTGATGCAAACACATTAAACAATGTTAGCTATGTTGTCTAAGAAAAATGAAAGTTGTGATCTAAACTAGAGGAGAAAATGGTCCTACATCAACCAGAAATCCTGTGATGGAGCTGAAGCTTGTAATGGTATGGCTGAGATTCATTTTATTGTAAGAACTTGCAGTTTGTTTTTTTTAAAAAAGAGTACATGGGAAGAACTTGTGATTGTTACAAAACAAATGAGCGGGATGCAGGATGAATATATTTGATCATCTGTAGGTTTGGACTTAAATATCTGAAGTCCATCATCACACGTGACTGTTCTGAGAATCCATTTCTTCAGTACATCTCGTCTGTGGCTATCCGCTTATCTACTGGTTGCATTCTATTTCTCCCTTACATCCAGCATATACTACCTTCAATCAGTCACAAAGAAGTTATGTTTGTTTGGCTGACAGTTCCCAGAATTCCTTTAGGCATAGGACACCCTGCTGAAGTCCAAAAATGGACTCTGGATGCTGGAGTCCAAAAATGCATTCCCCCCCCCCTGCCAAGCTCTGCCTTCAGTCCTTACCTTGGCAAATTCCATGTCCTTTTCTGCAGCTTGTTCACCATCTTGAACTACGGGCAAGGCAGAAGAAAGTGCTCCATAGAAGGCCATCATGAATAGCAAGTCCTTCATTTTGCCTGTCACTTCGGAGCTACGGTTGCAGAATTCCAGACCACTCCAGCCTCTGTCTGTGAATCTGTTCCTGCCTCTCAAGTCCTCCTCTATATATACTTCATGGTTATTCTATAAAATCCACAGGCTTATGACTCAAAGCATCTCGCATACATTTTCTGAAAATTCTCCCTGCTGTACCAAGAATACAGGAAATGGCTTTATATGGAGTCAGATCATTGTCCCCTTTGCTGTTGTTTTCATTAACTGGCAGCAAATTACTGGAGGTCAAACAGGATTCCCCCACTCCACCCTCCTTTACCTGGAGATACCAGAGACTGGACTTCAAACATCTTGACAGGCAAAGCATTCCTTGTATTCCTGAATTATACCCTTTCTCTCAGTGGAATTAGGAGTTAACAGATGCACAGAAATTTGTCAGAAATGGTTCCATGGCCAGGAGCATGACCTTTTGTCCCAGCCAAATAACGGCCATGATTTTAACCCAGAGACATCATTTAACCTTCTAGTAGGGATTTCCTCATTAGTGCAAGTTAACAACTCAGTACACCGCAATTCTGGAAATGATTTGAGTGGCTTAAACCAAAAATCTAAAACTGTACAAGAGGCTGTGCAGATTATACAGATGACCCTTATCATCAGGGAAACTAACAAAATCAGGGCACAGTTTTAAGGTGCTTCTGTCAAAGAGTGTACGATACAGTGCCTTATCCTTAGATTGTCCGTAGAAGGCAGCTACTATGGAGGACATGAAACTGAGGGGTTTCCATGTGACATCTGCCAAATCTGAGTGGTCTAGCTTACATAATATGCACGTTGTTTTCAAATCAGACCGACTAAACAAACAAACAAACAAACAAACAAATAAACAAACAAACAAATAAATATTTTTAACTCTTTCCCAACCTAACTTATGACTCATCTATTTTTTTTACCTTGCCTTTTTTCCTTAAAAAAGGACCCAAGGTGGCCTACATCATTAAGATACAATAACTAAAAGCTACAAACAGTAAGTATACAAATATTTTAAATACAATTCTAAAAGTGATATTTAAAGTAGGTCGTAAAATCAATGCTAAAAGCACACTTAAAAGCAATAAGACACAACAATCTATTGAAAACCCCCAGCCAGGCAGCCAGGCACTGAGTGAAAGCTTGCGTGAAGAGAAAGGCTTTTGTCTGCTTGCAGAATGAGAGGAAAGATGGGGTCAGCCTGGCCTCCAGTGGGAGGGAGTTCCAGAGTCTGGCAGCAGTGATGGAGAAGGCTCTCCGCATCCCCACATAAAACACCTGTGAAGGTGATGGGGCCAAGAGAAAAGCCTCCCCTGACAACCTGGGCAGGCTCATAAATGGAGACGTGGCCCTTGGAATTGCTCATACCAAGCCATTTATAGGCTATATGGGTTAGAACCACCATTTTGAATTGTGCCTGCAGTACTTCTGCAGACTGATTTCCCCATTCTCAGCAACCTTCACTTACAGTGGCTGGATGGAGAACAGGACCCAGACTGAGGGTGGCATGGAAATGGCTTATAAAATGTGACATGTAGGAATCTGTCAGGAACCTCATAAAGTAGGAGTGGGGAACACGCATTTCATGGGCTGCATGGACTCTCTGCCCATTTCCTAGATTCTGCTGTCCTGCTGCAAACATTTGAAAGGGTGAAGAATTCCTCATTAAAATATAAGGCACAAGGATGCACCATTTTCAAAGCTGACTTGCTTTCCCACATGCTGCCCAAAACATAAACCTGACTTATAACATGGCATGCCCTCTCTGAGCAACCTGCTATAAATCAGAAATGGGGATAAAACATCTCCCCAACTCCCAGTGCCATCTATTTGTGATGCTAATGGAAAAGTCAATATGTATTGGCTTTGGATCAGGGAATTTCGCTCTGGACCAACCATTGTTGCCCACTCTTAGCTACAGAGGACCATCTGTAGGTTAAAGGCACCGTGCCAACTTCCAAAATGCTTCCTGCCCAGTTTCAAGGAGTTAGGGGTTACCTTTAAAGCCCTAAATGGCTTGGGACCTAGAGAAGGCAGCATCTCTCTCTCTTTCTTTGGCTAAGAATTCAGATCTTCATTTTGCCTTGTGTGGAGTGAAGGCCTTCTTAGCTGTGGTATTCTAGTTATGGAATTCCCATGGAATTATGGCTATCACCAATGCTGGCCTCATGTTAGTGTCAGGCTTGCCCAAGCTTTAGGTATTGTTGTTCTTACATGCCATCAAGTTGCATATGGTGATCCTATGGATAAGTGATCTCAACGGCCCTGCTCAGCTCTTGCAGACTATTCAGCTTGGGTCCAGGCTATCTGAAGGACTGTATCTCCCTATATGAACCTTCCTGGTACGATAATTAGAGGAGGCCTTCCAGTTGGTCCCATTGCCAACATAGACATGGCTGATAGGAACACAGGAAAGGACCACCTCTGTGGCAGCTCCCAGGTTATGGAATGTTCTCCTTCTGTGGGGCAGGGGGAGGAATAAATGAATCAGGAAGTTTGCCAAATTGCTAAAAATGTTCATTGGTTGGGTTCATTTTGGTTCATCAGTTTTGGCAAACCAGACCTGACCCGAACCAATGAACCACCTATTTTTGACAAACATCCTGGTTTGTTTTTTGGCTCATGTCCATCTCTACACCAAATGGATTTAACTACATAAACTACAGATTGGAAATTGGCCTCTAAACTACACTGCAGGGCTGTCATATACAATTCTCTTTCTCTTATTCACCCCTCCCATCCAAAAAATATAAATGCAACAATACTGCTCTGATTTGCTGGGCTGAAACACTCTGCTCTAATTTGCTGGGCTGAAACACTCTAGTGGCCTAGAGTGGTCGCAAGAACAGATAGGCGAGATATAAATGAATGAATGAATGAATGAATGAATGAATGAATGAATGAATGAATGAATGAATAAATAAATAAATAAATAAATAAATAAATACATAAAATAAACAAGCTCTCTCAGCCACAACATTTTCATCAGCAAAGTGTTTCCTTCCTTCCTTTGAGCAAGCATACATTTATGTATTGAATTAAACATTCTTCATTTTCTGCTTTAAATAGATCCTTTTTTTGAAAAAGAGGTCTGCTTTATAAAGAGGAAGAACTGGCATTTTGCCCATCTACATTATGTTGGGCCAGTGTGGTGTAGTCTGGACTGCTAGAAAGACACACAAGTTCAAATTAGACCTGAACTCTTTCTAGAATCGAAAAAAATAATAATGACAAAACTGATGCTGCTATATATTAGGCACATAATGGGAAGACAAGATTTGCAGGAAAAGACAATAATGCTTTTTAAAAAAGTTGAAGGCAGCAGAAGAAGAGGAAGGCCATATATGAGATGGAATGATTCCATAAAGGAAACAACAGTCTTGAGTTTGCAAGAGCTGAGCAAGGCTGTTGAGGACATGACATTTTGGAAATCATTCATTCATAGGGTGGCCATACTTCAGGGGTGGCTTGACAGTACAGAGCAACAACAAGGACAGTGTGATACACCATGACAGCTATTATGTTCTTAAGACCTGCTGGAAACAAATGGGAAGAGCCCACCCCACATATTTTGTTGGCAGAATCAAAATTTGTTCCTGCTCCCTGCCTTGTATAGAAGCTAAGGTGGCAATTGACGCTTTGTGTGATGTTGGCCTGGGCCCAGCATCCTTCACCAACCTAAGGGCAGCAGCCTGGCTTAGGCATTGTGGCAGAGCTCAGAAAGTTATTTCTGTAAAGTAATTCATTCCTGTTACTAGTTACTAGTGTTTGAAAAGTAATTGAGTGTCACTGCTTTTCCTTTACAAAGTTCCACAACTTTCCATTATTTCCTGTTACTTTTTTTGGGGAGGGTTAACCCGCCCGAACAATTGTGAATGAATATGCAACTAACACAAAAGACCTTTTAAAAGACCTGTCTTCCAGAACGGCCATGAAATTAAATATGAACTTTTGGAAATAACTTGAAATTGTTACTTTTTACTAGGGTTATGAATCCTCAATTGTCTATCTTTGCATGCAAAAAACAAGGAAACTTAACCTTATTCTCATCACCTGGCCAGACAGCAGGATAGCTTGTGGAGCTCGTGAAAAGAGACTGGGAATGGAATTGATTGTTGCACGAATTTCGCAAAATTGCTCAACTAATGCTTGATGGCAAATAATGCTTGGACACGAATAATGTATAAAATGTTGATATCTGCTGCTTTGTTGCATGGGCATTCAAAAGTGACATGCAGCCAGTCTTTCTGCACTAGCTCTGTGTGGTGTCCTTTCCTTCCAGTACAGGGGAAAAAGACACCAGTTGCAGAAACCATTTGTGAAAACCACCGAAATCTTGATGAGGCAAAATAGCACTCCTTGTTTCATTGAAACCTGGAGGTAAGAAATTACTTGCAGCCTGAAAAATCCTTGTAGAGGTGTTTTGGTTAGGTTGAAACAGCCAAAATTATCCAGAACAAATAAGTTAGCAAGTATACTTTATATACCTGCTCATTACACCGGTAAACAACTCTGTTCTGGCCATTTACAATATGTTTGAAACATAACTTTATTACACCCTTGTCACCTCAAGAAGCCCACAGTTACAGGATAATAATGTTACCTGTAACTTTTTACTTCTAAACCCTGAGTTATACGGATAGATAGCGTCGAATGGCATACACAACTCTCTTCTCTAAAGCACAGGGAAGATTGAGGGGTTACTGTGCTGTTCCCCAGCTGCGTGAAACTGTAAGGCCAACCCTGAACAAGAGAATCTGCCTTCTGGACAAGGAACTCACTTGTTTTCCACAAAAAGAATTAACCAAGACCACTACCTAAAGAAGAATAAATCACTTTATTATCTGGTCACATAGAAATTAGCAAATAATTTGAGGTAATAATTTATATTAAATATTTGTTGACTGAGCCTTTCTTCTTCTTGAAAATATTCCTCAGTGTCTGGATTTTATCTTTGGCTCAAAACTACAGGACAGATCTGCGCAACCCAGATATCATTTGTTGCTCGACACACAACGAAGCCTGAAGTTTGTTGTTCTTGACGACGTCTTTTTTTTATTCTCACATCAGTAGCAGCCAAGCCAGCTATTACTCTTCTTTATGCCAAGAAATCTTTTGGTTTTGCTGTCAAACTCATACTGCTTTGAGCCACTGAATAAATACAAATGCCCTGAAAGGATAATGGGGAAAAAGTAATTGTTGTATATCTAATAGGTCTAACAAACTCTGCAATTTTGTTCTGATTTTTTAATTTCTCTCTCTCTCTCTCTCTTTCTTTTTCAAATGGCTGTAGCCCTGTATGAAAGTCTATATTTCTAGAAGATGTATGTTTCAAAAATAAGATTTATAACATATACCTCCTGGATCAATCTTCTCAAAGTGTTTCTAGTATGAAGCTAGTTAAATGGCTGGAACTTGCACATGGAGCCAGCCAATGGGCTTTTCCAAATATTTTTGGCCACAACCTCCACCAATCCTAGCCAGCAAAGTCAGTCATAAAGGATCATGGAAAATATTGCACAAAGTTTGAAATTTGCAACATTTTGAATGTATGAGCTCTGTTCTGTCATTTCCTACCTGAATAAGCCTCCCCCTCAACTCCCATTTTCTCCATTTTTACTTTGTACACACAGAGAGTGTTAGATCCTCTGGGGTAAAAATTTTGGCTTGCTAATGGAGCCTACACATGAGCAACATGTCTTCTTAGCTGGAGAAAGCAACAATGGAGAGTTGTGCAGCTAATCACTCCCCCATGAGCAATTGCTGGACAACCATTTGGTAGAGCTGCTGTTGCTGAATCTTGCATTGCAGAGTTTTCCACAAAATGGGGTTGTGGTTGGACTAGATGATCTCTACGATCCCTTCAAACACTACCATTCTGTAGATGAATACTATGACCAGGATGTTCTGCTTACCATGGCGGAGGAATGCTGCATCCACCTTGGGGCCAATTTCATGGAAATCAGCTGTTATCTTCCTTGGATAGCCTTGCTCCATGGAATTCTTCACTTCGTCATATCTAATGAAATCAAAGAGTTGACAATTCACGCCTCTGCAAGGAACTGTTTACTGACAAGGTAACCACTGCTGTTTGTACTACCAAAAAGAATAGTGTCTAATCTGCAGGTTCCCAACCTGTGGGTTGGGACCCTTAAGGGGATCACAAAGTGTTTTCTGAGGGGTTCCCATAGTTTTTGGAGGATGGGGACTTGTCACCCTTGGGTTGCACCTCACTCTCCAGAAATCTAGGCAAGGTTCTGATCCTGTATCTAGAAGGAGTGCTCCCTCACATGAAAAAAGGCATTTGATCACAATGGTACATAAAAAGCAGACACGTAATTCACCTTTGGCATGTAAACAATGTCTTCCTTTGATTGTTATGATATGTATAACAAAGGAAGTTGCTGTGCTGAGCAGGAAATAAGAGTAAGACAAGACACATTTCTTGAACATCTTTTTCACTTTGAGTACATTGAAAATTATATGAGATCTTCACAAGACATGCAATTAGTATGGGGTGCACTGTAAATTAAGAAGATTTTTTTAAAAAAAATGTTTCAGTTGTGAGGGATTTAAAATATTCAGGAATTAAATTTCAGGACTGTTCAATGTAAGTTAGCTAACATCCCCTTACCTCCAATAGTGGTGTCCTGAAAAGAAATAGGTTTTCTTTGACCTTCCATCATAAACAGCTGCATCAATTTTCCTCACGCTTCTGGGGAAGCCCAGAGTATGGATGTTTTTAGGGAAATACGGCTGAATAATATTTCCCTTGGTAGCCCAATACCTTTCTCCTGTAAAACAAAAGACATAGAAAACTTGAGTCGTGTAGGTGGATGAACTAAATGCCAGTTAGAATCAGAGTGTCTTCAGTATTCTGAATTCTCTGCAGAGGGGATTATAAAAGGCATCAGTGAATTCATGCTAAAAGAGATTGTTCCTTTTGATTGGGTAAGCTTATGTGCCTTTCACATGGCTTGGGAGTGCTCCTTAAATCATTCTCCAATCAGCAGGAATTATTACATGACAGCAATGATAGGTCTACAAGTTGACTACCTCTGTCTTGCAGCAATGGGAACTGGGAAAAGATAACAGATCAGCTCTATATTACATTGCATGTTGAGAGCATGTGATACAATGGCTTCATTGAAGCTAAACAGTTCTTGGCTTGATCAGAGTCTGGAGGGGAATGTGGCAGGGAGCACCATGTATGACTTCCCTCAAGGATGAAAAGATGGAAAATAAGGATACAAATTCCAAATCTGTGCCTCTAATCTCAACTAAAATTTCCATGCTCTTTAATTATATCCCCACCTTTACACCTGTTGTGAATGTCTATCATATTGCTCCTTAGCTATATTCTACTTGTGTTTCTTGGGTCCACCAAGGGACGGAGGTGTGCAAGGAAAGAGATCTGACTAAGGCCTCTGTACATCAGCTTGTTTTCCTTTGTGACTGCCATGAGATAAAAAAATAGGTTCTCATTTCCAGTTGGGAAATAAACACAGGCTTCATTTGCAAGTAAGATTGCTCAGGCACAAAGTCATGTCTCTGGAAGACCTGTCTGCTTCTGATGACACACGATTTGTAATTTGCAATTTGACCCCTAGAACTGGAACAAAAACACCTCTCTCAGTTGTAGAATGTGTCCACTTATGTTCACTAATGTGCATATTTCAATATGACAATTGCATGTTAAAATATGATGATAGTTATACAAAAGGTATTGATTAACACTGAAGAGGTGAAGTTTTATTGGGTGCTATTTCACAGCTCCTGTTTATGGGCTTTTGTACAATCCTTTCCATTCAATAAACTGGACATCCTTTCAGAGTTCCACTGAATTTACATTAAAAAACAAGTATATGAGGCTTACAACAAGATTTACCTTTAAATAGAAAGACTGTGTCAGCATCTTCATTTTCATAAGCAGCATCTATGCCACTGCTCAAAGTTGGCCAGAAAGCAAAAATAGGACTTTTCTCAACTCCTTGTCTCAGAGGATTCATCCTCCAGAAGATGCTGGAGGGGATTGGGCAGAGAGAGAGAGAGAAAAAAATGGAATATTTGTTTAGGAAAACGTACAGCTTGGTGGGAAGGCACCTTTTTTCCTTGCAAAAGGACAACTAGAAGTGAAAAAGACAGATCTTTATTTACCTGCCTTGGAAGAACATTGTCTCCCCTCGTAGACTAGCAACAGCGTCAAAGGCCAGATGGGGGTTACACATGTCCGTTGAGGGCTCCTCTGGTGGAATATTTGTTGGCGATGGGGAGTTTCCTGATGTGTCATCATCATTATCAACTCCAGGAGTTCCTTGAAAATTACAATAAGGGGGAAAGTATTGAAAGCCAAGTAGAATTTGGATAGTTGCCGCTTATGGCTCAATTGTACATTAGCTGTAGCCTACATTAGACATTAGGGGATGTGGTGGCACTGTGGGTTAAACCACAGAAGCCTCTGTGCTGCAAGGTCAGAAGACCAGCAGTCGTAAGATCCCAATCTACGCTACGGAGTGAGCTCCCATCGCTTGTCCCAGCTCCTAGCAACCTAGCAGTTCAAAAGCATGTAAATGCAAGTAGATAAATAGGTACCACCACGGTAGGAAGGTAAACAGTGTTCTGTGTCTAGTCGCGCTGGCCACGTGACCATGGAAACTGTCTACGGACAAATGCTGGCTCTACGGCTTGGAGATGGGGATGAGCACTACGCCCTAGAGTTGGACACGACTGGACTAAATGTCAAGGGGAACCTTTACCTTATATTAGAGATGGAAACTCTTTATTGTGGAACCAGTAGCCCGGGGTTCTCCTACCAATAATTCCATTGGCTCCAGGTGTTTTTTCAAAACTGATTCAGGTGTTTTCAACAGCAATTCCCTGCCACAGCTTCCCTATATTCTAGGAAACTAAGTTCCTGACACTTGTCTCATGGCAACAGTCAGTTCAGTCCTGGCTTCAGTAAGGCCAACTCTGAAGAAGAGAATCTGCCTTCTGGACAAGGAAATCACTCGTTGGCCACAAAAAGAATTAACCAAGACCACTACATAAATAAGAATAAATCACTTTATAGAAATGAGCAAATACTTTGAGGTAATAATTTATCTTAAATATTTGTTAACTGACCCTTTCTTCTTGAAAATATTCCTCCGTGTCTGGATTTTATCTTTTCTATAACTGAGGCCAGTGAAGTCCTAGTACTAAACAAGCACAGACAACAGTTGCCCTTTTTCTCCTCATACAGCCTCCTCCTCTCCTCCTGGTGTTTCCGCCACCAGTACCTCAGCTGCATTGTGTGGGCCCTGTAGGACTAGTATGGCATCTTTAGCATCACGGAGCATAGGAGTTGACTTAGATGCAGGACTTGGCCTCTGCCTCTCAACATAAGGCCTTTGGACTCTGGGGCTGGAGTGGATTCAGTCTCTTTTCCCTGGCCTCTGCCTCTCCATGCTAGCAAACTAACTGAGGACTCTTGTCAGGGTCATCAGTCAGTTCAACCACGGTACAAAAGATGGTTCCTCTTCCTCCTGTGCTGAGTGCCAGGCTTCCTCCTCATTTGTGGATGCCTTGCAGGGTATCCCTGATCCTGAAGAGCATTCTAGACCTTCCTCCTCTCTCTCCTTTAATCCTCCTTCTGTACCCCTCTTTTACACTCCCAGGAACTGCCCATTTCCCCTCTCTCTGGAGACACCTGTGCCTCTCTCCTTCTTGTGAGAAGTATGAAAAGCTCATTTTGTGACAATCACATGCCTTTCAGCACTTGAAGCATTCTATATTCAATTAACAAGTTTTTTTGTAATACATACTCTGGCCCTCTATGTCATGGTGAGAGTCTCAATTGTAAGGTCATCTAAGACAACAAGAACCTTAATGCAGCTATTCCAATTTGTCACATTATGTGGTGTTTAGATAGGATACTGTCTAAATTTCATATAATTAATAGACATTTAGCCTGAGGTGACTGGGGCCAAACTCTTTGGAAGCTGCGTCAGGAATATCTAATAGGCAGGAGCAACTCACAATGGTCCATGTTGATGCATGTTTACTCATAAATACCACTGACTTGAGTTCCATAGGGTTGGTAACCAACAGCTATGCACAGGATTGCAAAGGCAGGATTCAAAATATCCTGCTGAGGAAGACAGAAGAGAAGGCTGCACTTCTCACTCACTCTTAAAAAAAATACATAAATCTGAAGCTGAATTTGTAAGGTGGAGACTGATTTCTTAAGAACTACAGAAAGAAAGAAGAAAGCTCTCCCAGCACTGAATCTTTTTGATGCTGATCACTCTCCAAGAGCAGTGGTTCCCAAACTTGGGTCCCCAGATGTTCTTGGACTAAAATTCCCAGAAGCCTTCAACACTAGCTGTGCTACCCAGGACATCTGAGAGTTGTAATCCAAGAACATCTGGGGACCTAAGGTTGGGAACCACTGTGCAAGAGAAACTGTCTTAAGACATTGCATACTTCTCTGGAGTTTCTCAGGCCTTAGCAGAACCAATGATATCACTTTTCCTAATGTTAAGGTCAGAATCTCTTTCTGTCCAATCAGCCTCTGTGGAGCGGGAGTCTGTACTTACCATAAAGGTACTGTATGCCATTGATGTCATCCGTATGAAGCCTTAGGTTTTGGGGGTCCACTGTTTGGTAGGTCGGAAACATCAGAGCGTCCAAAACATTGGTATGCCTAAGACCCAGGGAGTGGCCAAACTCATGAGCAGCCACAATGAAAAGGTTGATTCCTACAACGGAACAGGAAGAACACAAGCACCTGTGAAATGACTTCAGCTGGAAGAGGGGGAGAAATCACAGATGGCGGATGGCAGCTTCAGGAAGACAGTCTTCACACATTCTGATTCCATCTGATCTAGTCTCTTTTTCCCCAGATTAATGTGCAGAAAAGCAGGTCACAATCCACCAATGTTTGCATTTCTCCTAAAATTCTGCCACAGTTTTTGCAGCATTTCAAATGCACCTTTTAATCAAATCATAGCTTAATGCAGGGACAGAATGCAAAAGATTTCTGAATGAACAGATGTAGAAGTAATTTGGCTCAGAAATCAGTTCATCCCTCCAGCTCATGCTTGTTCAACAGAGTATGTAGCAAATTATCTGAACTGGCAGACTATAGATAGATGGGTTTGGTGTCTTAGTCCTTCTTTCCTTTTCCGTATCATTGTACAGACAGCTTTGGCCAGGCGCCCTTCTTTTTTCCTTCGCTCTCTGAGCCCACTTTCTGCATCGTTTTGCTCTTGTATTTTCAACAGAGAAGCAGACCATCAGACAGAGACTCCAGCTTTAGCTGCATCCCTATATAAGCGTAGGAAATATTTTTCCTTTCTGTATTGCACCGCTCTCCTGAGCGGTCATTTCTGATATAGTCATTACATTCTAGGCGATGGCATCCTGCCACCAAGAATTCCAAAGGATTCAGACACTACTGTAAGAAATGCACTAATAAGGTCTGCATTTTTAAGGCTGGGAAATGCGTAGATTCTGAGACTAGCCATCAGAAATGTGGAACTTTAATTTTTAGAAACACGTTCTCTTAATAAATCATGTCAAGGAATTGAGCACTCTTTGTTCAAGAGAACAGACAGTGGGAACTTATGTGTTAAGTCACTTCTGGCTAATATTGATCCTAGTAGGTTTTTTGAGGTATGTGACAAATACAAAAAGTGGTTTAGTATTAGCAAACTAGTGAGTTTCTGTGGTCAAGCAGGGATTTGAACCCACATCTTCTGAGTGGCTTCTATCCATTACATCACTCTGTTCTCCACCTAGTGAGTTTCTGTGGTCAAGCAGGGATTGGAACCCACATCTTCTGAGTCCTAGTCCAGCGCTCTATCCATTACATCACTCTGTTCTCCAATGGGAATAGATTGCCTTGTGTACCTATCCCACTCCCCCCTCGATTCATAGAATCATAGAATCATAGAGTCGGAAGGGGCCTTCAAGGCCATTGAGTCCAACTCCCCTGCTCAATGCAGGAATTCAAATCAAAGTATATCTGACAGAGGGTTGTCTAATATTCTCTTGAATGCCTCCAGCACTGGAGCAAACACCACCTCCTGAGATAACTGGTTTTATTATCATATGGCTCTAATAGTTAGAAAGCTTTTCCTAATACTCAACTGCTCTGACAGAGGGTTGTCTAATATTCTCTTGAATGCCTCCAGCACTGGAGCAAACACCACCTCCTGAGATAACTGGTTTTATTATCATATGGCTCTAATAGTTAGAAAGCTTTTCCTAATACAGTACTCAACTGCAATCTGGCATCCCATTATTATTTGTCTGGCTTCCTGTAATTTAAGCCCATTATTATTTGTTCTGCACTATTAATAAACAGGTCTCTGATGACCCACCTATGTTCATGAAATTATACTAGGTGTTGGGAAACAGTAACTTCCAAAAGTTTTTGGACTCAGCATCCTATCAAGCCCAGCCAACATAGCCAGAACGATGGAAGGTGTAGTCCAACCAGATCAGAAAAGCCTCGGTTTCCCCACCTCTGCTTTACACAATGATATACAAACTGACAATAAGACCGTTTGTTAGTCAAACGTTCGAAGTAAATCCTCTAAACAGACACACATTATAACTATATCCTTAGATCTGAATTCTTCTTACTTTGAAATAGTTCACAGTTAATGTAGAGACAAACCACTGAACAGCCATAAAAAAACCCACTTGCTGCACAGTTAAATATATTTGGTGGGTGGGGGAAAATACCTTTCAGATCGTTTGTCCAATTCTCATCCTCATCAAAATGGGCATTTCCACCAAATGCAGGTGAAAATGCATGAGCCAGTTGCTGACCTGGTCCATCGAAGGGGATAAAGTCTCCATGAGCTTAAAAAGTTAAAAAAAAAGAAACATAAATCTCCTAGCCATGATGCTTGGGAAAAATATATTAATGCTTGTTTTGATGTGATTTACGTACGTCCAGCAGCAAAAGAGATCTCTATATCTGCAGAAGTTCCATAAACCCTTTTGAAGGTCAGTGGGGTCACATCGCTCCACAGTTTCCAGGCTCTCTCAATTGCATGGTCTACGTCAGCTGGATTCATGTCTGGTGTGTAGTTTTGAATACTGCAGATATAGAGAGAGACATGACAAATACTTGCTAAATGTCCAATTTTTGGTGATTCTCCAAGTCTCAGCATGCTGAGACCACCCACTAAGACTTCTCTTGACTTCATAGAGATGTTTTTTTTCAGCCTCCCAAAAGACAGAGTCTCCACTCTGATTCCCTCATGTTCCCTCATCCACCAACCCTTTTGTCCATTAAGCAACTTCTATTGTTCTTTCTATATGACATTCATGTGGTAACTTAAGTTCGAGGAGGTATAATGAAAGCTCACCTATACGTCAGGTCTTTCTTTTCCCATTTTGGAGACCCGGGAAAGGTGTTATATTCCTCTACATCAGGCACCCCACACCTGGGTCTCTTCATTGCATCCAAAGTGTCTGTATCGAGTTTTCCTGTCACACTTAACCCAAAAAATGCCTGCATTTGTCGTATTTTTTCTGTGTCAATGATGCCCTTGCTTCTTATGACAGGTTTTGATGGTGATTCAGGATAGTATCTTTCCATGTATTTCTGGAGGGAAAAACACACACACACGTATGCCTTATATACCTTTTTCCACACATACTGTAATGTTCACATTTTTAAATAGATATTCCAGTTTCCTGCCTCTGAATGAAGAAGGCCATTTATTTCTTCCCTCCATTTTTCAGATGCAGTAACTTATTCAACCAGAAGGCTGATAGGTAAGCAAGGGCTTTTTTTTTCCTTTGTTATATTTACTTTAATTTTGTACTGTATTATTTGTTTGGATTTTTTTTTACCATAATAAACTCAATTTAATTTTGTTATATTTCTGTCTTCACTTTCCAACGAGCCCAAGGCACCGTATACAACTCTCCTTCCCACTTTCTCCTCACAGCAACCCTGTAAGGTAGGTTTAACAGTGGTTCGCCCAAGCTTACTCTGTGAGTTTCATGCAGGTGGGAAGCAGAATCTCCCAAATCCCAGCCCAATGCCCTTAACTGATGCTCTATAACAGCTTTCATAAAGACCTGCAGCATCACATGGAGTGCATTACACATTCCATGACTGTTTTATCTGTTGCTAGTCAATCTGTCAGCTGCTTTTTATTATCATCCACCTTCTGTCTCCAGGCATTACCTTGGCAAGCTCCAAGTCCTTTGCTGCAGCTGGTTCTTGCAGGAGGGGCAGAGCAGAAGACAGCGCTCCATAGAGTATGACCGTGAGTATCAACCTCTTCATTTTGGCTTTCCCTTCTGTAAACGCCAGCTGTGGAGCTGTAGAATTCTTTTCACCCTCTGCCAATGGATTAATCTGAGTGGCTCCACAATTGCTCTCTATATATACCTCACATTTCTTCTGAAAAATCAACAGAAGCATGACTCACGACATTATAACATCCGCTGACTTGTCAAATACAGAAAACGCTCCTTTTAGCCGAGTGACACACAACCTCTGCTACTCAATTCAAAACACTCTGATTTGACAATTAAGGTGTCTGGACTTCATCAAGTAGGATTTTTCAAAAAACCCAAAAGGAATGAAATATTTTAAAACAGTGGGAATAACCCTTTCTGTATCTCCCTTCCCACAGTTTTACCTTTTAATAGGGGTTTGTGCATTGCACTGATTCATTTTTGTCTTGTTTACCTTAAACCCACCCTCCCCCAATAATAATTTTTACTTTACAATTCAAAAATTGTGAAAAGTCTGGTGGCACTCTGAAGACTAAAATGTTTTATTTGGCAGAAATTTTCATGGAGTGTACCTCACTGTCTCAGAGGCATGGATGTAGTCCACGAAACCTTATGCCAACGGAAATGTCTTGGTTTTTAAGACTTGTCCTGGAACAGACTAACGTGGCTATCCACTTGAAAATGTCTGCCGTGAAAGGTATCATATTTTGCGGTACAAAGTGCAAATCAATCAGCTTCACAAGGAAGCTTCCACAAACTCCATATATTGGAAGGAATGTTCTATAGTCTGCAAAGACTTAGGCCAGATGACATTTGTTAGCCTGTTGCTGTTGCTGTTACTACAGCAGACTAATTCAATTACCTCTTTGGATGTTTCTGTAAAAATTAGAATTTGTGCCAATTTGAATGAAACACCAGTCTGCAAAAAATTTTTATTTTAAAATAATCTCTTAAATCAGGGCTAATTTTGGATAGATTTCTGTATTGGGAATACAGCAAACCTACAGCCCCAAAATAGTGTGCCAGGAACTATCAGGAGTCGCAACATATAAAAACACCAAGATCTTCTATCAAGCTCTGACACCAGGAGAAGACATCTAATATTGGATTCCCTTTCCTTGTACCTCCAAAGCATTGAGGAGCTTCCTGTGGCATCTTTTTAAGAGTCAACTAAAACCATGGTTGTATGTTCAGGCCTTCCCTCCTGTCAATATTTAATTATTTTTTATTTTTTATTTCATTTATTATTTGTTTTATTATTGTATATGTTATGGACTGTTTGTAAAATCCTTATGTTTTATCATATACACCTTATTGGAAGCTGAATAAATGAATAAATGAATAAATCTCTCTTGCCTCAGGTCAGGATTCTCACCTCAGAGGGCTACAAATAGAGGCCAGGGGTATGGTGGAGGGCTAGGGAGGTATGGATTCAATATTGATTCATTCTTCTACATGGTGGCACTGACCTTATGGAGCCAGTTTCCAGAGGTGTTATACCAAGCTCCCTCCCTGCTATCATTTAGGAGGCATCTTAGAACACAGCTTTTCAGGGGGGTCTTTCACACCAATGACTGTTCGCTTCCTGTCCTGGTATTATTGGAGAACTTGTCTCTGGTGCCATTTGGTTTTATGCCTTTAGTTTGAATTTTACTGTATTTGTGTGTTTAATACATGCTTTAGCTTGCTGTTAAACCATCCAGAAGAGTGCCTCTGCCCTATGCACTAATGTGACAATATATAAATAAAATAAAATAAAACGATTTTTTAAAAAAATCCCAGCAACAACTCCACATGGAAAAATATTTAGAAAAAATGTGATTTTTTTTTCAGCCCAAAGTCCTTTCTCCTACTTCCCAAAATCAAAGCCATTGGATCTTTTGCCATTTCTGGGCCTGGTGCCACCTATGGGGAATGCAGAGGGTGCGAATTTGCTTCTCAGGATTCCCAAATTGCTGACATTTGCTTTATTTCCGCAAGTGGAAAACACAAATAAAGTTTATGTGTTGAATCATTTGGAATACTCTTCACTTTCTCATCCCAGTCCCTGGGAAATTCCAACCTCTGTGTTGCCCCCAATTTTTGCCCATCAGGAACACCTTCCCATTTGTCTTTAATTTTTAGCTTGATTTGCTAAAATGGACATTTTTTCAGGCTTAGCAGACATAAGTCTACAAATCCTATAAACGTGTACTCAGAAGTAGGGTAGATGGGGATATTCATTCAGTTCATTTAAAAGTAAATGATTTACTTATCTTCACAAATTTCTTCATATTCGGGACTGAATTATAATCGGTTCAGCAAATAATTTGGGAAAAGAGAAGGCTCAGAGCTTAAGTCTTGCTAGATTTTAGAGCCATGGGAATGAGGGTATAGGATAAACACATCTTTAAAAAAAAATAATTTCCCGTATTTAAAACTCGTAGCTCAGATTCAAGCCTGTTAGTCTCTCTCTGTATGAATATGTGTGGTGAGTATTTAACCTGCTCTAATACTTTTTATTTTGAACACTACACACCTTGTGCTCACTGGAGGAAGTGTGGGATATATAGTAAATGTACCCAGGAAATAATAAAGATTGATTGTGGTTTGTTACATTCAACAATTTATGATGAGAAACTGACAAGAATATAATAAAGTCTTTGAACAGAAATTCAACTCAACACCCTCTGTGTCTGCTGATCAATACACCACGGCATTTCCCATTATTTTTATTCATATTGCTCAGACAGCCCCACAAGTATACATATTCATCGACTACACGAAAAGACACACACCAATATGCATGCAGGAGCTTTGTTGTTTATTGTAAGCATAGCTGTGGCTTTAAGTAAATGCCCTCATATAGCGGTGTGTAAACACAGGCTGAGTCTGCAGAAGCTGACTCAGAAAAAGCCCCCACTGACTGCTCCGTCAGCTGTGATCAGGCCAAAGGTAAAAAATCACTGACTCTCTTTTTGGCACACCTATGCTAGGAAGACGGAAGTGAATGAGCCATTTCCAAGCAGCTACAAGCTGGGTGGGACAGAAAAGTGCAGCCTAGACTCTCCCTCGTACTCTTCATCTGACAGTCTTAATCCATGCCTGACACTGTTAGAATAAGGCAAAATAAGCCACAGTTAACGGAAAGATTGTGTTTGTTCTCATTTCTGGAAGGTGTACAAAAACACAAAGGTCCAGGGAAAGCTATGAGCATCTATTTCCTTCTGAGGAGAATGCTGGAAAATAATTCTTCTCCTTCTTAGCCATTTCTTCTATAAACACAAGTATAAATCACAATATCCCTTTTCTCAGTTGCCTGTTAGAAACTGTCCTGTACAATTCTCCTTCTTAGCCATTTCTTCTATAAACGCAAGTATAAATCACAATATCCCTTTCCTCAGTTGCCTATTAGAAACTGTCCTGTACAGTAGTGCCCCGCAAGACAATGTTAATTCGTTCCATTGAAATTGCTGTTTAGCGAAAACATCGCCCTGCGAAAAACGTTTCCCCATTGGAATGCATTGAAATCTGTTTAATGCGTTCCAATGTGGAAAATAGTCATCGTTTTGCAAAGATCGCCTATAGGGAAGCCATTTTGCAAAGCGCCGATGCGCTGTAAAAATCATCATCTTGTGAAGCATCGGTTCCGGGGAAAAAAAAAACCCATAGCGAAGCACGGACTGAAATTGTCCAGCGAAAATCGCCTATAGGAAACACTGTTTTGCGAAGCGCTATGGCAATCGCAAAACCTCATTATCATGCGGATTCATCGTTTTGTGGGGTAATTGTCTAGGGAGGTACCACTGTAATTTCTTCTCATGGGCCTGTGTGGGACCCATGAAAACCCCTTTGCGAGAGTGGGAAAAGGAGGAAGATTTGCCTCTTCTTTTAATTGTCCCTCTTCTCTTATGCTGCCCTTGACTGTAGTGATGAAAATCTATTAGTGTAAAAAGGGCACACATTAATTGGCTGAAAACACAGTGAGGCAGCCATGTTTTTTCAAGAAATTCATCCGTTCGAGAAGTTATAGTGAGGAAAATTTGGACAGGTGATACCAATGAGCAACTAAGAAATGGCAGTCTTGAGGAAAGCTTAGTTAAGGTATGGGAAGATATAACAGATGTTACAGGGTCTTTGGAAAAGTTTCTTCTCTGTATTTAGAACTCAATAAATTCCCAGTCATTATGACCATTGGCCACAGTAGCTGAGAGATTATGAATGCTTTGTTTTAAAAAAAACTACAAAAATGACACTAACTCATAGTCATGGAGCATGACGTACAGTTCTGGTTGCTGCAGCTCAAAAAAGACCTTGTGGAACTGGAAAAGGTGCAGAAGAGAGAGACTAAAATGATTACTGGGCTGAGCCACCTCCCTTATGAAGAAAAGCTACAGTGTTTGGGGCTCTTTAGTCTAGAGAAAAGGCACCTGAGGGGGGACATGATTGAGACATATAAATTTATGCAGGGGATGGATAAAGCGCAGGGTTGCCAGACAGCAGGCAATTTAGCCTAATGTTCTCCGTCCGGCAGGCAAAGATAAAAACCTTTAAAAGTCAGGCTTTTGTATATTTTAAGTTATCATTTTGGATGGGAGGGGGAGGGGTGGAAGGACACCCCCTCCCCTTGTCTTTCCCCACCCCCACTTGCCCGCCCACTCCCCATTATCTGTCACCGGCGCTGGAGGGCAGCCTTTGCCCCCTTCTGCCATGGCGGTGGCTGCTTGGCAATCTGCCATTCCTGCCTAGCCCACGTAGAGCCCAGAAAGGCAGTGCAAGCAGAGTGCCGCCCGGTGAGCCAGGCAGGAGCGAGCAGTGACCGAGTGCATTGATGGGAAGGCAAGTGCCTGACTGTGTGTGTATAAAGTCCCTTTTGTGGAGTCCAACTCCTTCCTACACTCCCCAGCCTTGAACTTATGAGCCTTGGGGGAGGTGAAGCTGCCTCATTCGTGCCTGTGCTGGAGCTTTGTTTGGGTGTCCAGATTAGCAATGCCGCCTGTGCAGAGTGCGAGCAGCCGGGGGATCCTGCAGCCGGGCCGGGGTGGGTTCAGGTACAATTAGCTGATTAAATAATGTTTTTTGGTATTTTGGAAAAAAGCCTCCATTGAATTTATTTTTATTTTTTAACATGACTGTTTCTTGGTCGGTCGACTAAGATACATTTTTGGCAGTTATTGTAATAAAATTGTATTGATTGGAGGTTTAATCTGGAATGATTCAAATGAAACCGTCAATATGTCCTCTGTCCTTTTTGTGTGTGTGTGTCTTTCTGTGTCCTCCTTTTGGTACCCATGTATCTGGCAACCCTAATAAAGCGGATAGAGGGAAGCTCTTTTCCCTCTCACTCAATACCAGAACCAGGGGACATCCAGTCCAATTGAGTGTTGGGACAGTGAGAACAGACAAAAGAAAATATTTCTTTACCCAGTGTATTGTTAGTCTGTGGAACTCCTTGCCACAGGATGTGGTGATGGCATCTGGCCTAGATGCCTTTAAAGGGAATTGGACAGATTTCTGGAAGAAAAGTCCATTGTAGGTTACAAACCATGATGGGGATGTATAATCTCCAGGTTTCAGAGGAAGGTACCTCAAAATCCTAGATGTAGCAGGGCTCTTCTTATGTTCTTACGAGCAGCTCTGTTTTTTCTGGATTAAGTTTCAGTTTATCCTCCCTCATCTAGTCCATTACTGATACCAGGCACTCATCTAGACCAGAAACAGTTTCCTCAGTTTTAGATAGAAAGATGAGATAGAGTTGGGTGTCATCTGCATACTGGTAACACTGGACTCAAACTCCAGAAAGCCTCTCCCAGCAATCAAAAATCTGATTTTGAAAAACTGAATATCTAAACCATGCTTCTCATGCTGGATTTTGGGGTACCTCTATTCCAATCCCTTTGACAGGATCATTATTTTCAGCAGATATGTACATAGTGTGGGTACAAAATGCTCTACTCTGTGCTGGAAATACCTGTGTCTAGTGAACGGATAATTGCAAATGAATGATAACTTTGTTTGGAGCCTTTTTGAATTTTGAGGTATATTTACCAACATTTGCAAATATTTTCAAAAATAAAATAGAAAGATGTTTTAGAAATGAATTTGGGAAAATGCAGATCTGACAGATTTGCTTATATCTTTTTGGTAAGGGACTGCCTGATCACCTTATTTATCTCCTGAGAAATCTATATGTGGGACAAGAAGCAACAGTTAGAACTGGATATGGAACAACTGATTGGTTCAAAATTGGGAAAAGAGTACAACAAGGCTGTATATTGTCTCCCTGTTTATTTAATTTATATGCAGAATACATCATGCGAAAGGCTGGACTGGAGGAATCCCAAACTGGAATTAAGATTGCCGGAAGAAATATCAGATATGCAGGCGATACCACTCTGATGGCAGAAAGTGAGGAGGAATTAAAGAACCTCGTAATGAGGATGAAAGAAGAGAGCACAAAAAATAGTCTGAAGCTCAACATCAAAAAAACTAAGATCATGGCCACTGGTGCCATCACCTCCTGGCAAATAGAAGGGGAAGATATGGAGGTAGTGATAGATTTAACTTTCCTGGGCTCCATGATCATTGCAGATGGTGACAGCAGCCACAAAATTAAAAGATGCCTGCTTCTTGGGAGGAAAGCAATACCAAACCTAAACAACATCTTAAAAAGCAGAGACCTCACCTTGCCAACAAAGGTCTGCATAGTCAAAGCTATAGTTCCCAGTAGCAATGTGTGGAAGTGAGAGATGGACCATAAGGAAGTTTGACTGTGGAAGAATTGATGCTTTTGAATTGTGGTGCTGGAGGAGACTCTTGAGAGTCCCCTGGACTGCAAGGAGAACAAACCTATCCGTTCTGGAGGAAATCAACCCTGAGTGTTCACTGGAAGGACAGATCCTAAAGCTGAGGCTCCGACACTTCGGCCATCTCATGAGAAGAGAAGACTCCCTGGAAAAAAACCCTGATGTTTGGAAAGTGTGAAGGCAAGAGGAGAAGGGGACAACAGAGGATGAGATGGTTGGACAGTGTCATCAAAGCAACCAACATTAATTTGACTGAATCCCTGGAGGCAGTGGAAGACAGGAGGGCCTGGCGTGCTCTGGTCCATGGGGTCACGAAGAGTCGGACACGACTTAATGACTAAACAACAAATGTGGTAAATGCATGCATGCATACATATTGACTGGAAGATTCAGGGAAATAGCTGTTTTTGTTTAAGTTTGATTTTCCAAGCTCTTCACAAATCTTTCTTTGCAAAGTAACATGTGGGATTCTCAGATGCTTAAGCTCTCCCATGCCAAGTATCCTTGCATGGGAAAGTAGGATCTGGGGTTTGTTTGTTTTTTGCCTTCCTGTCCTGCCAACCACATCTCCTCATCATTGCTTAGTTGCCATTTCAAAACCTGGGTGAGACAAAAAGGTTCTAAAATGGAGACCTCTGCAGGGGACAACTGAAGACAGTTTTTTAGAATTCTTAACCCATCCATCCTGCCAGATTCTCTTTTCTAAGCGATTTATGGGGAAAAATAAGGAATTAAGTAACTCATGTTGGTTCCATGGCATGCAGTTCCACCCTTAGGTCGCTCTAAAGAAAACATCTAAACTCATCTTCTGAACTGGAGGAATTAACGTTGGCTTAAATGACTCTCTGCTCCACCAAAACAAATGTGCAATGATTGTTAGTGTCATTATGACACATGAAATGGAAACTAACCAAGTGAAGGAGTGTTGGAAATTCCATGCACCCGAGCTTTCAGTTATCAGGATTTTCCCCCAAATTGGGAAATCAATGTCAACGCCTTGTAGGGTTCTAGGATGTCTTCTGTCTTCTAAGCCCATACTCTTAATTTTATTCTTCTCCTTTGTTTTCCTCTATGATCTCTCTTTGGATTCCAGCGGGTCTATGCTAGGTATCGCTTCAGGATACAGCTCATTAGTACTTGTTGTTTGCTGTTCTGTAAAGTGATACTCTCCCATCAGGGCTGCCATTGAAAATCACGAGTTAGCTTGAATTTGGGCTAAACTTCAGGAGCCAGATTCCTGTCTGGAGTCCATTTCTAACACATCAGGCAAATAAAATAAAATAAAATAAAAACATTGCGACACCTTATGAACTAACTGCTATATTTTAATGTGAGCTTTCATGGACAAGTCCACTTCCTCACACTTCTCCATAAAAGCTCACATTAAAATATAGTTGTTAGTCTTTAAGCTGCTGCAACATTTTTGTCTTTATTTTTGTCTTTTTCTTTTCTTTTTGCTTGGTAGGCTAGCAAAGACTAACACGGCTACCTCTCCTAAAACCACTTCTAACGTACAACTCCAGTCTCTTGTCATCTACCTTACCTACCTGTTTGCTTTGGGCCAATCAAAGTGCTGATGTGGAGGTTTGAAACCCTGGGAAAAGATCATTATAAGAACCACCTATAACTGCATAGGTCCGCCTGAGCATGAATACAGGCCTTGGTAATCCACTTCTTGATTTTCCTTTAAGAAAATTTGCTGGCTGAGCACAAAAGATCAGCCTTGGCTATACCTGTGCCACAGCTCTGGCATACTTCCCCAGCTATGACCATTTAGAAGTCCCTTTTAACGTCCTTTAGCCAAAAATGGTAAACATGCTTATTTTACAGATTTTTAGGTTACTGTTTTTGAACATGTTTTTGCCCAATTTTCCTGTGATTCACACTGCATTTATACAGTCTTTTGCTTTTTAGTTCCATCTTTATTCATCTTGTGCTTTATGATTATCACATGTTAAGTATTGTGTCATCAGTCTCTCCTTAGCATCTCTGATTTCATCCACAAAGGAGGGGGATACAAATAACAACAAAACTAATAATAGATTACTACTACTGCCTTTGCTGCTGTTACTACTAGTAGTTTGATGGAAAGTTTATAAGGAAAACAAAAACAAGCATTGGAGGTGCTAGTGATAATCCAAAGTTTTTCCATGCAGAAGACTCAATTTTCAGTAAATGAGATCCCCAGGTAAAATATCTCTATAGCAGAATGGGGAATATTATTGTCCCAAACAAATTTAACAAAGCAAAATGGTCCAACATCATCATCTTAGAACTTCAGAGCTGGAAGGGGCCCTATGGATTATCAAATCCAACCCCCACCAAAGAAGCACAGTGAGAAATTGAGCTCCCAACTTCTGGTTTTGCAGCCAGATTATTAAACCACTTAACTATCCTAAAGTGTACCAATAAGATGTGAAGGGACACTCACACTTTCTGAGGGAGAGGGACAGGGAGAGGACATCACCAAAGAACATAGATTTGCATAAAATTGCATGTGCCAATTTACATGTAGAAATGCAAAGTTAGAATTAATTACAGTACTATAATTAGTCATGTTGGTCAGAGACTCTGGGAATTACAATCTCCAGAAATAAATTTTTAAAACTCTGATTAAGTGTCATTCCCACCCCACCCTCCAACATCAACAAAATTTCCCTCATCTTTCCCTCCACATGGCCGAAAATCCACTCCTGTTTTTACGGGAAAAGAACATTTTGATACAATTCTTCCAAAAAACCCACCACCACCCCAAAGCCCTCTGGTTTATGAATGTGGGATATTGTGCTTCTATGCCAATGATTCAAAAAGCCAGGAAATGGTCCAATATTGCTGCACAGTATTGTACCTGTGTTGCCAGTAAGAAAAAGGATGGCAAGCTTTACAAAGCAAAGGGCAGTCTGGATGTTGACAACACCAAAGG